ACCACACACACTCTTCTCGCTCTTCCTTCTCCGTCGATATCTGGCTTTTATTCGAAGATTTAAAGCTGCGTGTCCCTCCCACCCCTAGTGTGCGTTTGATGTTTGACAAGGGCTCTTTGAAGTGTGCTGACTTCAGAAGCTGCCTTGCTGATGGCTTGGTCAGGCTACAGAGGGTGTAGGCAGGGGGCCTCCCCTCCGAGCGAGACCAACTGCTACCCCACCATCTCTGCCCCCGTCTCTTCCCCTCYCCCGGCAGCTTGGCACTGCCAGGGGCACTGGGCATGAGAAGATCTTTGGAGGGATGGGTGGGGWGAAAAGTTCAGGTTAGCCCGAGGGCAAGGGCGTGTGGATTAGGCCTTTTTTGGAATAGTCACAGGCTTGTTGGACAGAAATGGGATTAGGGCAAGGGGCGTTGGATTAATGCACCATATTGCATCCATCAGAAACACCAAGTAGCTACATTCACACACATCAAAGTGACCTCCCCCCCTTGTGTTTTTTCCCCCTGCAGAGGACACACCGGCTGCCGAAGGAGATGATCCCAGTTGAGCCCTCAGCCTTTGCTGCTCAACTCATCGCCAAACTGGAGAAGCTGAAGCGAGAGCAGGACACCATGAGCTCCCTGGAGGAGAGGCTGCAGCAGATCCAAGAGGTGTGTGTGGATTCTCACTGCAACCCCTCCAAACAGTGGGGGCGTCGGGTCAAATGTCTGATGGATTCTAGCTGTTCTACTGTCCTGGATGGGAGCTGATGTTCTGAAACTTGTAGATACTGTTCTGCATTGACCATGTGGGAGCCGTCCATGCTAGAGGCATTATTGCACCCCTATACCATCAGAGAGGCAGATGTTTGAAACTGTGCACCAATTARAAGCCGGGTTGTCCCTCTCCATGTGGTTTCCAGAAAGAATTTCAAATTCAGGTTTTGTCTGATTGCAGAACRGTTTTTAACTTTCCCTCAATCCATGAGTTTTGGTTCAGAGACGACGACAGCATMTCTGGATGATGTTCACATACGTGCCGTTTCCTCTGCACAATCGAGCTTTAAGCAGAAGCCATGAGAATTTCAAATTATTGCATTCAGTTTTTGTTAACATTTGACACAATGTTGCAACTCTTCTAGAGTCGTGGTTCTATAAGCATGGCCGTCTCTTATTCCTCAAATCTAACTCGGCTCCAAGTTGGTTCAAGCCATGGTTCAGTGCTTCACTACAGAAGCCTTTATGCCAGCGTTAGCATGAAGAAGAACAGGGTACACACCAAGGYATTGGAAAGTTTGTCTGGCTTTTAGTCACYTCTTCACGGTTCCTCTCCTCTTTTCCTTTTTCATTTAGAGGAGGAGCGTTCAAAGTTATGTTTCTAGACATACTTTAAGTGCCTTCAAATAGCACTTAGTTACTCTCCAGTGGCACATTTGCAGAATATGTGTAGTGCCAGTCTCTTTGTGAAGCTCAGGCACATTCTGCATTATAGATGAAGTGCACCCAAAGCCTGTTAGTGAAGATAACAGAGCAGCAAAAAGGAAACTCACATCAAGTTATCCAGGCATTGGCTTTCTCTGACTTCACAAGAATGATAGATAGAAGTTGGTGGAAGTTGACACACACACACACACACACACACACACACACACACACACACAC